ATATTCAGCAAATCCTAGTAAAATTAAAATCAGCTTCTCAACCGTTTTCTAGGTATAATCTGTCCCGTTTTAATCCTCAACAACGAACAATCTGTTTGACTGAAATTCCAGTCAGTTCTATAACTAAATTTAGGACGAACTGAAATTGTTATAAACGTAATTGCCAAAGTTTGCGCATATTATTGGGTTCCCTTTTTGTTTTGCGTCACAAGCTGAAGGTCCCCGAGAAGGTCAAGGGTGCTTCCAGACCCCAGTGACCCTAGTCTGTTTTATCTAGATGACATTTTCAATTGTTTAAGAGCGATGCCCTCGTTTGCTTTTAATATTTAAATACTGTAATACCTTTTTTCATTACAATAAAATCTCTTTTTTTTTGTCTCTACAACGGATATTAAAGTCTCAAGTTCTCAACCGGTGCCGCCAAAAAGTACTGTTAAGAAATTTCTTTAAGAAACTGTCTGTACTTTGGAATAGATGTATATGTAACAGCATTAATTCTGCATTCTGCAGAATTTATTAGATATGTTCAACAAGATTTAGTAGCCTTTTGTTATAGTTTGCCAAGAAACCGATTTACGATAAATGTCATTCCAATTCAAGACGTCCCTTTAGTGTTGGCACGCTTATTTGGACTGATATTAATACATATGTATTCGAAAGTAATATCCCTTGAAAAGCAAAACTTATGTTAACAGCGTTTCCTTTGAGACGCATTTTGATGATGTCTGCGCTCTGAGTGGAAAAGGGTCTGTCCAAACTCTGACAAAGACAATTCTGTTTATTCTCATACTCCGAGCCGGGGCCGCTGTACATTATTACCCAACGTCAACTCAATTAGCACGCAACCCCGGACAATATTAATAGACCAACACAGACGGGGCCCTATAATAGGGCTGATGTTCAGCCGGGGTTGCGGGGCAAGCGTATAAGGTACCGCAGCCGCGGCCTGGAGCAGGAGAAGGAACGGGGTTTTTTAGTCAGTAAGAGTGACACCCCCTTTCGCCCCATCCTGGGCGGGAGAAGTCATTTGATGATTTTCCCATCACAAAAAACCCCGGGCAATATGCGGATGCTGTTGCCCTATTGTCAGAAGCTTAGCTTGTCGCATTTCTAGAACATATCCGGATCCAACTACAACTTAATGTAATGTTATTATCAAGTTCTATGTATCCGTGAAACATCTCTACGGACCAACAAACATAACTTTCCTAATATGTATTCACAAACTACTAAATACTATGGCACTGTAGTTGACTATGAATTAGAAACTTGTATCCGCTAGATCTACACTGTGCTGGAGCTTGTAGATGTTTGCTGGAGCTTCAAATTCCCTGACAATTAAGGATGTGAATACGAAAACCGGTTATAAAGAGTTTGGCTTATGGTGATTGTCAATGAAAACATGGTGCTTGGACGTTTTCCGATGAACAGAGTCTTGTGCTTTCAAAAGACGTAAAAAATGTATGGTATGGTCTTCTACTAAAGTTCTTTTGAGTCGTCGGATGCAGTGTATGTTTATGATATCTATTTTCATTTACTTTTTGTTTATTTAGTTCGTCTAATTTTTCATCCTGATTGTCTTTTTATTTAGCTTTACTCAAAACTTTTGGTTAATTTGCTTTCCGTTTATTTATATTGTTTGCTATACTCTTAACATCCGAAATGATACTAGAGAAAATCGCGCAACTCGTCGAAAGATCTCGAAACTCTTACAAAATGTTACTAAATTACTTTGTGACTGATTGTCTTCTTTGCTTACAAAGACATTAACTTTACTAACTTTGTAAATTTTAACGACCGCTTCTTGTAAGTTTTTGTACTAGTTTGTTTGTAGGTCTTTCAATTTGTGTCTTACTTTATTGCCGATAAAATTTCTACTCTTATCTGTTTTCTTTTTCGAAAGAGTAGGTCTCATCTAGTGTTGCCCAAATTCAGTCTTGGTCTTGCAGTCTTGGTCTTGTTCTTGCGTTTTTGCAAGACCAAGACCAAGAACAAGACCGCGTATTTTTAGCAAGACCAAGACCAAGACTGACCGTGCAAGACTTGCGTAAGAACAAGACTTAGCCTGCAAGACTCTTGCGTCTTGCAGCTAGGACTTAGCGGTATTTCACTGAGTAGTTAGGTGTCACAGTTCGGTGTATAGGTAGGTACGCTTAGTAATCCTATGAGACGCAAAAAACTGTATCAAAGAATATGAAAAACTGGACCTATGCGCACTACAATTAATACCATACACATAGCGAATTAAAAAATATCTATTAAAATCAAACTGAGTGCATGCATAGTTATGTTTTAACCATCGGCACTTTGATAATGCGGCATCAAAGGTTTTGTACTTACTTCTCAAAGAAATTTGCCGCTTTTCGGAAGTACATGGTTACGATACACGCGCCGGCGGCTTCTTTTGAAATCTAAAACAATCGTTGCTGCCACGCCGAAATCATAACATTTGACACTATTTGATTGCCGCCATAGGGCGTAGGTATACTCATGCAAAATAATTTCGAATTTTAAGAGTACCTACAGGTGTTCCAAAGAATAAATAAGTTTCAGAGTGTTTAGAATGAAAATGAATACATTATAAGTATATGATCACGCAAGTAGTATTATGATTAGGATAAAATGGTAAGGATATGTAGTAGATGTCATATTAATTCATTCTAGTAAGTATATATTATAATAATGATTACTTATATGGTTTTAAACTAATTACTTAGGTACTATTATTGTACATTTAGTCATTATATTTCTTAAGTTTTTACAAGAAAAAATAGCAAAAAAGTGTTTAAATATCACCCGTTTAATGAATGTTGTAGCCACTTTTAAATATACTTGAAACTGCTGAGAGGTTATTTTCTAAAGTATCATTAGTAACTAGAAAACATAGAAATAGGTTAAGTGATGAATTAGCCAGACGGTTACTTTGTATTAATTCTTGGTCAAAAAAATTGATATAAAGTAACATAACCTAATGATAAAGTTGTTGATTTGTGTTGTATTTTATTTTTTATTCAAATAAATGATAAATCGTAAAACTCTTTTATTAAATTTCTTTTATGTTGAGGGTTCAATCTCTTTCTAGACAGATAAGTATTGTTCTTTAAAATACAGTAAAGTTTTGTTTATGTTTTAGCAAATGTAAGCTTATAAATCATAAATGTTTATTAAGAAACAGTTACTTCCATGGAAGACGACATATAGGTCAGTTGTATTTAAATCTTCAGTTATTTATTAATCTGCTTGATCTTTACTATCTCTATGTTAATTCAAGCTCACAATGTTCCAATTCTAAAACGTTTTTCTAAGATTTAGATTTAACTTTAATAAATAGTAATAGACTAATAAGTAATTGCAAGACTTGCAAGACTTGCAAGACTCTTGCTGCAAGACCAAGACCAAGACTGGGAGCGCAAGACCAAGACCAAGACCAAGACCAGGTGTTTTGGCGCAAGACCAAGACCAAGACTGGCTAAGTCTCGTCTTGTTCTTGCATTTGGGCAACACTAGTCTCATCAGCGTAATTATGCAGACCTCTATCTAGTTTAAGAACATTTCTATTGTAATAAGTATTGTCATCATCATTTTGAGAACTGTGACTTAAAATGACACGATTTGAAAGGTTTGTTCGGGAGAACAAAATAAGTTTAGATTTTAAGAGAGGGTGATTCGCCGAAAAGTTCGGCAGAATCTGCTAAACAGATTTTTAGATTCTAATGCCTTTTTTCTTACAGCTAAGGTTACGTTTGGGACGAATAATGTAAATCTTTGATGCCATCTGATAGCTTTGTTGGTATATGCTGTTATTACCTAGATTTATATTTTTTAGGCAACAAAATCATATAGAGTATATCTTACAAATTCCGATGCATAATTAAAAACGTCGTAGACTTCGTTTTAGGTATCGATCCACCAGTATTGATTACCATAATGCTTACAACGTAAAATTAGGTTTCCAATCACGCAATCGATATTTATAAGTTCTAGACAAAAACTGCATAATAAAATAGATATAATGTCTTCCACTTCTCCGATAAAACTTCTTTTAGCTATATCCAAGTGAAATATATGTCTAGCCGGCAAGATATCTAGTTATTTCGATGGCTTCAATCTGTCTGCTTAGCATTTATTTTATGTATATTTATCGAATCCTCCTTTTCTATTGAAGTGGAAAATGAACTTTATGCCGATGTATACGACAACTTTATATATTTATATCTTTCTACATTTTGCCTTTCATTAAATTACGCCTCTGTATCTTCGAAACTGTTAGCAAAAAACCCGACCGGACTTAGCATATTGCTCGATGGTTGTCGCGGTATGCTGCCTACGAGCCCCACGTGGCTTGAAACTAGTCGTGTCAACTCATCTATCTGTAATGTTAATTTTTTTTAGTAGTGTAGCTTCAGTGTCTATCAGATTATTTGAAAATGACCCTTTTTAAAAATATCTCGTATATTAGTTTATCGGCCACCCACTTTTTTTGAAGAGGAAATATTATTGTATGACTCTTACTAACTAAACCACCCCGTTCTTACTCCTACTCCGGACCGGGCCCGTAGCACATTATTGCGTTTGCAACCGTAACCCCATAACTGGACCAATACACACACTTGACAAACTATGGTAACACAGAGTATCTATTCCACAACATTCACACCCATACCAAACCAAAAAGATTCTCACAATTCAATATTCTTTTTCTGATAAGACTACAAAGTACTATTGTCCTAACCGCAAATCCTAGTTAAACACGTAATACAGTTTTTCTTACGAACCGCAGACAAATGAATCACGAAAGAAAATTGGAGAACTAGAACTACCAAGTTTCCATTACAGCATATCAAAAAAGAGCCGGAATGGAAAAGCTATTATTGTAGACATTCAACTAATACTCTATGCTTACGATTTTTCAACATGCTATGTTCAACTTAAAGGAAAAGAAAACAAAATAGAAAACATTTTACATTTTCCAACTTTTTAACAAGATGTTTTTCTTTCAGACAGATTGTATTTCGCGACTTTGAAGAATGGTTACAAGCCGAAACCAACACGGAACAGCAAGTATTTTCACATTGAAGATGAGATTGTCTACGAAAACTTTTATTTCGACTTTGGACCTTATCACCTCTGTCACCTGTATCAATTTTGCAACAAGCTTAATGAAGAATTGGAGAAGAATCCGAAGAAAAAAATCGTCTTCTACTCTAGCAACAATGAGACCCTTCGACTTAATGCTGCTTACCTTATTGGGAGCTATCAGGTAATACTCCTCTGTTTTTAATCAACAAAAATCCATTGAATCGTCGTAAAAAAATGAGTAGTCCGTCAGTAAAGCCAAGTATTTTAAGAAGGTAGATTCGTATATATACAGATTTACGAGCGAAACATTCCATTGTATTTATCCCTCATTCTTCCAAAAGCTATATAAATTGATATAAATATCTATAGGTTTTAGATGTCCGTTCATTCCCTTTCACTTTTCTTTGAGATGGGTAAATCGTTAAAGATTTTTCCGCCCTGGATGAGGCGTTCCGTTTCATACTCCGAAATGGGTCTTGCACCCGCGTTATACGATTGAGATATCAAATTGAGCTTCGTTTAGATAAATAGCCATTTGGAATTTAGTTTTAACGTTACAAATATTTACCTAATATTCTTATCTTCATTTCAACTTCAAATTAAGATCCCATTACACCGAATCCCACAAAATTGCGAATTACTTTCATCAAAAAATCGTTCTAAATATTAAAGTACATTTCGGTGCTCGTCATCCGAAAATATTCCTCTAGGGAAATGCCAGGACGAAATGGAGACGACAAATCATACGCCACATTTAATTTCGATACGATTCGTGGTAGATGTCACCATTCGTCCAGCAATATCAGGAAGACTTAGAAATTCAAGGTTGTAGGTTGCATAACTAGACGATATGGATGGACATGTGTTGTGTACCTGTTGTTTTAAGACCCAATTATAACGGTCGACTGCCCTTTAGAAGTAGTTTGTGGTGCGAAAATCACCCTTATTGATGTGAAGTATAAATAAATCTGTAAACTGTCCCACTGCTAGACAAACTAATACATCCTTACCGGCTACAATCGGCCCTTATAGGATTACAAATGTAACGGATATATTACATGAATGTAACTTTAATACGACACCTACACGAAGTACCATTTAATCGTTTAAAAATAAACGTGTACTTACGTGATTGTTAATGGAAATAGAAGATGGTGGTCAATTAGTGGATAACCGGACTGTCCCACACGCTCCCTATTATCCAATGAAACGTTACGACTCTGCCAAGACTGGTGGAAATTGTCACCGGGATGCTCCGTGAGGTCGTTCTCAGATATCACGTGTGTTTAATAATTAATTGTATGATTTATAAAGGATTTTTACGTCGGGCTGCCCCGGAGGTTAAGGCTTTCGCTTTTCATGCATGAGGGTTTGAAACCTAGCAAGTACCGATCTTACTTTTTCCAAGCATAACTACATATATACATAATATGTACTTTTTAGTGTATTTAGACATCACTGAAAAACAGTGAAGAAAAACAAACCTGAGAAATTCTGGATTTATAATTTAAAATAATAAGTTTAAAATCGCCTATCTGCCTTGAACTTGCGTGGCGATTAATGTTCAAACTTTCTCAGTGAGAGAAGGGTCTTTTACTTATTATAGGCCATTTATACTTAAACTGAGGATGATGATGAAAGAATTTTATAATTATATGGAGTAGTAATCTGATTGTATTTATATATTATTTCTTGGTGACCGACGTTAGTGAAGTATTTGTCGCAAGCAAAAGATTCCTTAACTCTTTCCAACAATAAAATAAAAAAAATGATGTATGAACTAGTTCAGGTCGTAAAGGCACAATTATCTTGTATGTTTCTGAATGTGACATGACGGTCTTTATAATTTCTTTTGGACATATCAGAAGACTTAATTTATGCTAGATAGATCCACAATCTTTTTACATCTAATAGTTATAGAAGTTAGCCCTAACATTATCAAATCCCTGTTTACGATTCCCATTTACTGTATCAGATAGCACAACCAAACACCCCTCACCTACCTAACGCTTCCGTACGTTAGTGCCACATGAATACCTGACTATTCATGCATGATTGGTCCCGTATACCCCTTGGCAAACATAAACTTTATGAAGGTAAATTGCAAATTTGTATCCGTTTGTCAGAACACGACATGAGACTTGTTAATATGATTGACAATCTCGTTTAAGTCGTGAAGGGTTGACTGTATGTACTTATAAGTTTTATGACTTGAAGAATAATGTATTTTTGATTTAACTTACAAGTACTTTCGAGTTGATTTGAAGATGTAAGGGAACTTTTTTTGAGAGGGTGTATTATAATCAAGTGCTTTCAACGGGAAGAGAGGGAGTGTCAGACTCTTACTGACTCACTCCGTTCTTTTTCCTGCTCCAGGCCGGGCCCGCGGTGCCTCATTGCGCTCACGCGCTAGTTTATAAGTGGTTTGCGAAGCCTAAAGGGGCCTATAGTTGAAACATCTAAAATTGTAGATCAGCTTTGTTATGTGATTTGATTTGAATCCCGTCTGAATATGGGGCTTTAGTTTCAGTTCTTTGACTTTGTAATAGGTTTCTATATTAAAGTAATGGTTCGTCTCGTTTAGCTTGGGTGCTGTTCGCTGAGTTTTTTCAATGGATATTCATTTCCCTCGTCCAAACCCCTGACAAGAAAGAAAACTACGAAAGTAGAATTATTATGTTTGAATCAAAATTTGATCTTTGACGATGGGGATCGTTTATATTTGTAAATGTTTTTTGTGTCGATAGATTTTATTTATTTATATTTAAACATTACATTCATCATTACAGGCACACCTAATACGATAAATGCAGATATTTTAATACCATCAGACAGGTTAAAAATAAACCAACGCAGCACGTCGTTCATACAAAAACATTTCAGACATAGTGAATCAGGGCCTTAAACTGTACTGTTTCCAGAGCAGGAGAAGGAACACGGGGTTTTTAGTCAGTAAGAGTCTGACACTCCCTCCCGCCTGGCCCTGGGCGGGAGAAGTCATTTGATGATTTTCCCCTCACAAAAAAAAACCGACCTGTTTCAATATTTGAAATTGATCCTCAACTACTCTTAAACTCCTCAGATAATATACCTGGATTCGAGTCCAGCGGCGGTGTACAAGCAATTAACGGAGGGATCAGAATGGTCACTCCTGAACTTCCGCGACGCATCAGGAGGTCCACCACTCTTCGATATCTCCCTCCTTGATGTGCTTCATGGTGTGAAGGTGGCTCATGATGCTCGGTTCTTCGACTTCGATAATTTTGATGCGGAACAGTATTTGTTTTATGAGGTAAGTTCAGTATTAAATAGATAACGCTTTAAAGAAATTTATACGCTATGTATTTATAACTTAGATGCATTCTTCTTTGGCTAGTCAAGTTATTGTGTTCTACGTGATAGAGAAATTACCGATTCTTCTTGGTCTATTTCTTGCCAATCACGATTTTCAGTCGAAGCTGTGAACATATCATTGATGCACACCATTTAAATATATACCTTTGCTAAGCATAATATAGTACCAGAAACTTCTTCAGTCGAAAAGAAATCAATTACTAATAAAGGAATTAAAGTATGTAAAAATAACGTTACTTTCATTGATCGATTTAATTTTAAGTTACAGTGTAATTTTCTCTAACTAATTTTAAAGTATAAAGTAAATTAGATGCTAAAAATATGACGTCACAATTCAGTAATCTAGTTATTTATCGAGATTTTTTTATTGTTGATATTAAAAAAACAATTGAATATGTATACTTGTTATTATATGAGTGCACTTAACAATTTTTCAAATGACTATACATTAGAAAGAACTTTCACCCCCACTTAGATAAACCAGTAGGTATAGTTTCACATTTTTCCGCAGCATTTTACACCTTGAAGGAATAATATATTATTGAACAGTTAAGAATGTCGTCGACCTTTGCCGCAATGAGTGGGCTTTATATCCGCGACACAATTCGGACGTCCTACACAACTAATAAAAATGCTATTTATTACTTTGCAAAAATTACCTTCTGTTGTACTGAACGTACTTGGCTGTGACTTACTTCAATTCTTATTGAAACTCGTTAGCTTTTTGGGCATTTTAAGAGAAGTTTGATGTCGGCAAAACTGCATATTTCATAATAATATGTGACACCAAGATTTTAACACTTATAAGCACTTATGCCAAAAGCACCTAGTAATACCTTAGAAGACACCTTTTGACAAGAAACACGTGGATTCCATGATGGTAAGCAATCATCACTGCCCAAGGACACTCGCAATACCAGAAGAGAGAATTGCCAGTGCGTTTTGGAGATTTAGGGAGCGGGGAAGGAAAAGATTGGTCCTTTGATAACCTTACTCACACGGCGAAACACAATGCTGCTATCACATACAAACATCTTCTCATTATTTGCTAATAATACAGAACATAAAGTAGCCATAATCACTATTTCAGAATTAAGCTGAAATTAGTACATTGTAATCTTTCCATCGTTACAGAAAGTCGAAAACGGCGATCTTAACTGGATAATCCCTGGCAAAATGTTGGCTTTCTCCGGCCCCCACCATCGGTCGCGGCTGGACCGCGGCTACCCCCTCCATAGCCCTGAACACTACCACGATTACTTCAGAAAACACCATGTTACCACCATAGTACGGCTCAACAAGAAGTCCTATGACGCCCGCCAGTTCACCGCCCACGGGTTCGAACACAGGGAGCTGTTCTTCGTCGATGGTTCCGTACCTTCAGACCTTATCGTGAATCGGTTTATAAGGATCACTGAAGCCGCGAAAGGAGCCGTTGCAGTGCATTGTAAAGGTATGATTTAAGATGATTTCTCACTTGACAATTGTTGAGCTTCTACAGATAAGAAGAGTTTGCCGGCAGGCAGTTCCAGGTCGCATCTTAGATGGTTCAGATTTATTGAAGAGCGCTGCTTTTCCCTCTTCGTTAAATATGTAACTATTTTTAATCGGTTCTTATGACACCCAGAAGCCACCATTTTTATTTACAGGACTTGATTTTTCGTTATTTAAAACAAAAAATCTTCCTACTAATTTATATTTTGTGTCTCTTCCAGCGGGTCTAGGTCGCACAGGTACCCTAATAGCATGTTACCTGATGAAGCACCATGCGTTCACTGCCCGGGAGTCGATCGCGTGGCTACGCATCTGTCGCCCCGGCTCCGTCATTGGACATCAACAGTGGTTCTTAGAAAAGTGAGTCTCAGAGACCTTTTTTAAGTGCTCAGGTTAACTAGTGTAGCGTAATGTAATGTCACAAGTTTTGCAAAGAAACATTTCATTTCATTTTCACTTTAGCCTTATTCTTTAAAACATGTTGTAGACATTGTCTTGTGTACAATCATATCACAAAATTTGTTTAAAATCTTCAAGGGCCTTTTTTCTGAGAGGCAAAAACAGTCATATTGCTTGTAACGCCTTGGGTGTGGCGAAAAAGAGTGTCAAACTTACTAACAAAAAATGTCGTGGTGGCCCGGAGGTTAAGCAGCCCGCTTCTCATGAGCATGAGGGTGTGTAGCATGAGCATGAGTATGAGGGTGTGGGTTCGAAACCTGGCAAGTACCAATGTGACTTTTTCCGAGTTATATGTACTTTCTATGATTATTTAGACACCACTGACATACGGTGAAGGTAAACATCGTGAGGAAACCTGGACTTATAAGTTTGAAATCGCCAACCCGCATTGAGCAAGCGTGGTGATTAATGCTCAAGCCTTCTCCGTGTGAGAAGAGGCCTTTGCTCAGCAGTAAGCAACTTATAGGCTAATGATGATGATGATGATGATGATGATGATGATGATGATGATGAACCACCCTATTCTGTCTCCTGCCCCTAACCAGGGCTGCAGGGTACATGGAGATTGCGTTTAGTTTTTTGGAAACTTTCTAGCTTCTATATGGAACTATTATATCTAACTAAAATTAAACAAATGAAAAGCGCGTTTTAAATTGTACACAGAGAGCACTTTTGCTTACAACTATCTGATATGAAAAAATATTATGAAGCTAAAGAGTTTGTTTGTTTGAATGCGCTTATCTCCGGAACTACTGGTTCGAATTGAACAATTCTTTTTGTATTCGTTAGCCCATTTACCGAGGAAAGCTAAAGGCTATAAAACATCACGCTACGATCTGTAGGAGCCGAGCAGCGGGTGAAACCGTGCGAGAGTAGCTAGTATGTTATATACATGTCATTATTTTCATATTTCCAGTGTTCAGCCTCGGATGCACGCTGAGGGAGAGGCGTACCGGCGTCGTCACAACATCACCTCGCTACCTGTCTTCGAGAGAGGTATCTACAGTGAGATACCAGAGGTCGAGGATAAGGTCCAACCAGCTGTGGACAACAAACCCGTGTCTTTGCAAACTATACTGCATACTAGCAAGATCACAAACAATAAGGTTAGTTGTAATTGATGCTTTGATAATTGCGTTCAGGCGCCATAGATTTCCGCAGCTAAAGCTTTCAAGTCCTTTTACGCTACACGTGATTTTAAGTTTGTTGGAAATTTTATTTTTGCGTTCATTTGTATTTGATATATAATATATAAGTAGAAACTAAGTTTTATTAAAATCGGTTTAGTGCTTTCCAAGGTTTTGAACTTGAAAGTTAAATTAAGTTTTAAGAGACCAACTCAAATTTTACACAAAATAAACCGAAATTCAGATAGATTTGAAATTAACAACCAATCATGAAAATGATCCTCGGTGTGACTTGAAATAAGTCGAGTTTTAAATTATTAACATACCATTCCTTTTGCAGTTGGACAACGCCAACGCTCTGAACGCGAACGAGCCTGACTCAGAGAACAACGTGACAACAGTCATCGGCAAGTACAAGACCACCCCCACCCCCATGCTCCCCACGAAGACAGTGTTCGCGCCCAAAATGAACTACATGATGCCCACCAACAACATACGGAACGCCAACAACACCAACTTGAAGCAGCCGCCTCGAGTCATCAACTCCACTCTAAAATCTCATTACGCATCAAAAACTTCGACATTTCCCCCAACTAGAAGTGCCAATTCTCAAGCCAACAAACTGACGGGTGCCGTCAAACCCTTCACCGGTAAGAGCAGCTTCCACGGCCAGCGAGCCAACCTCGCGCGCCCCGCTCTAGGGTACACTCACGGTGCAAGCCCCCTCAAAACCTTCACAAGAAAAACAGTCAGCGTCAACAAAATCCCCAACAACGACAGCGCAGTCGTCACAACACTCAACAACGTAACTTCAACCTTATCTGCACTTACAGAAAACTGCCACTTGAATGGCAAAAATCGTCTCCCATCTGAGCCAAATCTCAAATCTGTAGTGCAGACTAAACCTGCTAATTCAAATCTAAACGCGCGCAAGAAACTTATAGTCAGGTCTAACTCTAGCTCTCGCAAAAAGCTCCCTAAGAGTAATTTGCCTAAAACCGGTCTCGAATCTTCACAAGATCTGTCTTCCAGTGATACGAATGTGACAAATATATCCGCGGATTCCCTCGAGACTCCGTTTAGATTCAGACGGAAACGAGACAAGTCCAGTAGCCCGGAGCCAATGGACTGCATCTCTAACTCTGTGATTACCGCGGACGTCACCCCGGACAACTACGAGGAGACAAACAACTCCCAGGGAAATAAGTTGTATAAAATCAAGGCGTTGCGAAAGAAATGTCCTGCGTTCGGAGTCAGTTTGCTGAAGAAGGACGGCGTCCAAACCCGGTCGAGTAGTTGTGCCAGCAGCTCGACCGTCAAGAAGAAATGATCTCTGTGAATAACCCCGACAACTAGCGTGTAGTGTTCGTGTTAGATGTATAGAGTTTTGACGATGTGCATAGCACTCGATGATGTTGTAACGTATGTAATTTTTACGTTTGATGAATTTGTTTAGATGCTTCCTAACAATTTTTTAACGATCGACTGAACTTTTTTATTAAACTCATATCAAATTAAAAATAATCCGCTGTAAAAGACACGCGATTCTAAACAAATTTATCAATGTTTTTGATGTGTAGTTGTTAACGCTACTTGACCCCGCGGGAGCGAGCCTACTGTAATCTCATTAGAACTACTGACTGTATTGGTAGCGAGTGGCTGATAAATATACATATTTATATGTTTGTTGATATACTTACGTTATATTTTTGTTTAAGGCATTTTGCGCTGTGGCGTAATGCTTGTACAGCGCATCGCGAAATAGTGTTCACTGAAAGATTTACACATAAATATATGGAAGATAAATGCATATTATATTACAATAGATTTTACTATAATAGAATACATATATCAATAGTTAACTTTGAACATGTGCCTGAGTTATGCGTCGCAATCACTTGAGATCAGAGCTATAGAAGAAACCAGTTAGATTGGCATAGTGTGGAATAAAGAAATATTTTTCTAGTTTAAATTGATAAGTGATTACATGAATGCCATTTTCTTTAGCTTTTATTAAGCCCTGTTGTCTAGGTATTATCGATAAGTTGAAATGTGTTACATTTGTTTTTATATTAAATATGATCATTTTCTTTATATATTATATACAAATCATTATTTTAGTTACATTGTAAGCGATACTTTAATTAGTTAGCGTTATTTCGTGAATGCTTGATGTACACTGAGACTTTTGTGCAATAAGAAGTGCTTATTTAATTATAATCTATAATAAAATAGTGGAATAATGACCTGATAATGCCTTGGATATATTTACTACAAATACCGCGAAGTTCTACCTATACAATTGATAGAATTTTATTAAAAAAAAAAACATAATTATAATATACAATATATATAATTTTATACAGCGTAGTTATCTTAGTGTGCATTAAGCGAAGTATATGAGGGTTGTCACAAATGTCGAGTGAGGGTAGCTTCGTAACATTAACGACATTGTTAACGTTAATTCTAGACGTTTAAAGTGTTTTTACGTTTTAGGTGAAACTAACTATTATATTATAGCAATCGTTTAGTCACAAATAATACGGTAACGGTGGAAGTATAACTATTATAGAGAACTAGGTTTTAGGTACTCTTGGCATGAACATAAGCCGTCGTAAAGTCGTGATTTGTGTTCATACAGACAGCATTTGTTCAATTTATCTAATAATAAATTGTTTATTTACAATAATATCTGGTGGTAACCTATATATACTTATTATAAAGCTGAAGAGTTTGTTTGAACGCGCTAATCTCATGAACTGCTGGTTCGAATTGAAAATTTAATTTTTGTGTTTAATAAACCATTTATTGAGGAAGGCTTTACTGTATAAAACATCACGCTACGATCTGTAGGAGCCGAGTAGCGGGTGAAACCGCGCGAGAGTAGCTAGTATACAATAATATATAATTTTATCTTTATTTTTATTTTTATTACTTTATAATTCTTCTAGTTTCAGCCGCCAGCGTGATAATATGTTGATAAAAAGCCTGTTTTAATCTTGGGTATCGCCTATCTACATACCAAATTTCAAACAAATCGGACCAGCAGTTTTTGCGTCAAAGAAACAAACACACATGGATGAATTCTCACAAACTTTCACATTAATAATATTAATAGGATTCTACATATATTCTACGCCGTATATTCATTCATGGTTCTTTTTATAATAGTTATATTTTGACCGTTACTGTTCGATATATTGAGCCTATCAGAAGTTCCGTGAAACTGTACGAATTTACAGTGTCATATCAGATTTGTACATGCTTGTGGGTTGTGCTAGCCTATTGTTTGGCACAAGCGTTGTGCGAAGCGCTTTCTGTCCTACTATTGTATAGCTTCGTATCGATTCTTGATCGAGTATCGATTTTATGGACATTGTTTTGGTATGAATCTACATATAATGTAATCAAAGAAATCTCTTATCCTCTATTGAATTTTTATTAACTGTTGTTAAGACTATATTGAATGACTTTTAAAGTATTAAACAGAGAATCCTTCTTAAGAGATAAAAAGTGAAAATCGATTTATATCGATATCAAGTATCGAGTCAAAAATCGATACGTAAGCGCAAAATTAAATTAGCATAGTACATTACTGTTGGATTCTGAAGACTGTTGTCTACGCCATTATCATAATAGTATTATTAAATTCATCTGTACTTACAGTTTATACTATTGCTACTACTACTTAGTCAACTAATTTTATTGTGTTAGTTTAAATATTTAACCGTTCCAGTGTTTTATTGATTCTCTTTCGCTTTGAAGCCGGCCGGCTTCAAGTTATTAATCTTTCTCTAAATATGTGTGCTAGTTTTGATATAACCAATTCTCCTTTCAGCCCATCCCCAATCCTCGAATCCCTAATCTCTAAAGCCGGCAACGCGCTCATAAATGTTCTCGTGTTGCGGTTAACAATCAATGGGCAGCACCAACTGCTTCCCATCAGGTAGTGCATCTACTTGTTTTCCACTCAATCACATAAAACCTCTTACCAAATTATAATACATACTTAATCCCCGAAAGGTCGGTAACGCACTCGTAACTCCTGCGTTGTTGCGAGTGTCAATGGGTGGCGCCAACTTTTTATCATAATTTGATCCATCTACTCGTTGCCCGCTCAATCACATAAAAACCTCATACCCATTTATAATACATCTCTAGTACGTATATTTGTCCACAGACCATTGCAGCCGGCCCTTAATAAAAATGAGTTATAACTTCATATAAAAGCTTTCTTTCCTTTTCCTATGCCATTTATATAAAACATAATTAATAAAGTTGAATTGTAAGTACAGTGCGCAGTTACAGTATCGATACGCTTATGTGGTGCGGCAGCTAGTGATGCGACTTCATATTATAAGTTATCGATAAAAGTCATTTGTTTTTGTGTGCTATCGTGGGACAACAAAAAATCGTAAACAACGGCTTCTTCGCGTGATGTAATTGAGAAAGGCTCATGTATAAGAGTCCTGTCGTGACTCGAAACTAGTAGAGCGATTCTCGATTATATTAGTAAGCCGTTGTTTTCAATTTAGTCACTGTTTTGTTGTTACCGTATATATTTTTCCTTATAAAGGGTTAGCGCTGACTGGCAAAGGGGCAGTGTAGAGCTGTTTAGAGCTTATTAAAATAGTTTTTTTTTATTTCTCTATATATATGAGGGCCATGTCTCAGCTCTAACGGATCGGCTCGAAGGGACACTGGTACCGAGGTCTCACAAAAAAACTCGCGTGTAACAAAGCCTCCGTTGTTTGTTCTGCTTTGTGTGTTTATACGAGATCGAATGATCCCTTAACTGGTAACTGTCCTGATGTTGAGGGTGACCTTGACAGATTGCTTATCCAAAATTAGTTGCTCGTATCAACAAAAAAAAGTGTTGCTACTCTTGGAACTTGTATTTCTACCGAATCCGAGATATGCTAAATATACCAGTCGTTTTCCAGTGTTTTAGGTTGAATTTCAATTGTTACTGAATTATTCTCTTCGACTTTACTATGTTAGTTAGCGCTGAGCCTTAAGTATTTATGTATTTATCTTACCACTACAATATACATACATATATTTTAATTGTATACATATTTTACAGAAAAAAACAAGAAGAGTAAGTTGTATGTTCATTGTCATAGAGCCATTACAAATTAAGACGGTTTATTATAAAGATTTTTAACAAATCCTTCTCAGTAGGTAAACGGTGACCGACGTGGCTGTTAAACATTTCTAACTACTTATCTTTATCTTTATATATATAATTCTGTTGTACGTGTGCATGTAATAGAACTCCTCCTAAACGGCTTGACCGATTTTAATGTTTTTTTCTTTCTGTATGCGTTTGAATAGCCTGGAAGGTTTAGATTCACAAATCAGCCCGGCAGGTGGCGCTGATTGCTTGAAAAAGCATGTGATCACGGAAACGGCCCTAACGTTTTCATTAAATTAAATTGAAATTGGGACTTTAACGTATCATTTATATTATTAAGAATACCTTGTCATAAAATGGCAGACTGTCCTTTATCCTCTATAAATATCAAGGGTGATTTTCGCTTAGCAGTCAGTGTATATTTTCCCAGTAATCCTATACTAAAAAAAAACAGTTTAGTATTAAAATATAGTCTTTATTAGTAATGGCTCTAATGTTTAAATTCATTTTATATTTTTACTTTTTACCTATTTTTTTAAATTAGGTACATATTTAAGTCATAAGGTCTGAAATCGTAACGTGATTAATAATTGGCCAATTTTGTTATGTTTTAAATTAAAAACGTTTTTATCTAAATAGTTGTTATAATTTTAAATTACTTTTTTGTATTTTGATTGTTGATCAGAAAAACGAATTTCATAGCTTTATATTACTAAAGTATTAAGTTTTTAAAAATAAAACAAATAATATTTGAGTATTTTTGCAATTGTTACGAGCGATCAAAAAGAAAAATGTTGTTTTTTAAAAACCTTATGACTCAAAATTGCAATAGCATACAGCAATCATTATAATTTTTAAATCACAACTATTCTCTCGTTTATACAAATCAAATTATAAATTTGGACTAATGAAAATATTATATATAAAATTATGTTAAAATTATTTGCATTATTATTTTATTGTATTGTATTTCTTCACTATTCTTTTATATTTTACGTTTTTTTTTACTGTCTATGAATCCAAGTTTATTATGTAATACTTCAACAACCTTATTACAAAACAAGGTGTATCTTTAGTCTATGTTTAAACCATTGAGCCAGTTTTTATATTTCGAAGAAGTGATGGCTCGTTTTGAATTTCGAATCTTATTCGAAAAATAAAAACTGCCTCAATGTTTTAGACGTGGACTTCAAAATACCCTTGTTTTGTTATAAGGCCGCAAGAGTATGTTTATTGAAAATATTTTTTTAGTATGGTAATACTTTGGTGCGCAAGAGTGGATAGGATTTAGGGACCAGAGCGTTGTAGTCTTACAAATGTTTGTAATTGTTTTGCTGTTGTCTAGGAATAGTTTAAATATTAATTTTGTTGTGATCATGAGATTTATAATCTACTAATAGTGCACTGTACTATTATTTATCAATAGTTATATGTATATAACTGAAACACCATTCCTTCATGGTGTATGCTTGTGCTTAATAAAATTAAAAAGATATATTCCAATTTGTTTCATCGTTTTATTTACACTTTAAAAACCTTACATGCTAAGAAATATTAAATGCGCAGTAAGTATACAAGTATATATCGGTTAAAGTTAAATTTCCACCCAAGCCTAATCCTACCCCTTCCCCCGCCCAGAAAAATGGGGGTAAGGGGTAGGATTGACTAGTTCACTTTCAAAAGTGTTTGATGGTGTTCAAATATAGCTTTATTTGCTATACACCTAGAATTCATATTGCGAGATAATTACGAAGAGCCGAACGGCCGTGATGCTGGTGACTTTGGAGAATTTGATGATGTACCTTCTTAACTCAAGTTCTATCACTTGAGGCCCTGGCAGGGAGCACTCGAGCGACACCACGCAGGCGTTGAAAGATTCACGAGTGCTGGAAAGAAGCAAAAAAAAAATAAGTTTCAAAATAGGTTCTCGTAAAAGAACGGATAGTTTGCAGTTGTCCGTAACTGTGCGTTTTTCGTGAACCCTTTTTTTCCGCTTCGACATAAAAGTCCGATTTGACCCGAATGAGGGTCTTCAGAAAACCTGCATGTAACAACGTTTGCGTTGGATTTGCAAGAGTGTGAACGGGTACTGGAGGTGGGCCTCCAGTTAGTATTCATCCATCAACATTCATCTTCCATCCCCAAATTCTCAACATCAACTCACTATATACTTGGAGCATCCTCATAGGAACGGGGTAGGTACTTACTTGAAGCATCGAAGGTTAGCTGGTTGAACACCAGGTGACGCGTTGACCGATACAATGCGCAAATGATACTTTGCTTTCGAAAACATGACGTGCCAAGAATGGAAAGGGCTCGGCATTTCATAGAAATCCACCTGGAAAATAATAATTTAATAAATGGATGCGAATAATACAAATCGTAGGTACATAAATGCTATTATTCTATTCTATTATGAGGTTTAGACTCCAAGTTTTATTGAAATCAATTTGCTGGTATTGTTGTTTTTAATACCTAGTTATGAAAAAGTATACATCTTCTTTAAAATTAAAAAAAAAATATTGAGGGTTATAGGTATCTTAAAATCCTAAATAACGTTATTGTCACTAGCCGGAGGATGTCCATGGCTGACCAAGGACTCGCCGCTGGACGGCAACTAGCCAATTGCATGCATTGGCTCCTCGCGACTCTAACGATGTCGTCGGTCCATGTATGACCTGCTCACGCTTCGTCTTCTAGTCTGTGGTCGCAACTTCATCAAGTCTCGAGCGATGTGGCCAGCCATGCCTGCCAATTACCACTTCAGCCTTCAGCTTAAATCGGTAAATTTAAGCCTTTGGCGAATTTTCACATTAAGAATTTACCTATATTTCTTTTGCGGCTAGGACGGAGAGAGGACTTCAGCAGGCAGGACCTTTTCAGCTTGACATTGATATTCAGTGTGTCTCTGACAATTTGATTTTCGCCACCGATTTTTGGTACCTTAGCAATCACAGACACATCACTGAATGTGCTCTTCTTATCATCTTATTGATTGTTGAAAAATTCGGTCGTATTCACGTCTATCTCCTGAATAGTCGTTTCTAGAAGAAGGAGTTCATCAAATAGAGTCTCGCCCTCCAAAAAGTCGGATTTCGCAACCCGTATCCAAATGGCCCCATTCTCAACTCATCGCAATTCGGGTAGGTACCCAGTTTTGCGGTTACGTTTCACATAACAACGGTGAAGTGTGCTTCGGAGATGTGTAGGGCTTGGAATAATTTCTCATACCTTCCGACTTCACCTAGTTTTTTAACGTTTGTTTCTTGCTCGTTCTTCTCCGTCGTAATCTACACTTTGGAACGAGCAAATAGCTTCACTAACAGAACTGACCGACAGACTGACAATTTATTTCTTTAAAATTTTGTTTGATGTTCAAAATAGATGATTTTTACTTTGACTATGACTTAAAATATATAATTTTGACGTAGTGGCCTATTTGGCAAAAATAAGTTGTTTGTTTCATTGCTCCATACTTAATTAATAAATTATATCTAAGTGAACATATTACATCCAACCTTTCCGAACGGTAAATCGATGTTGGCGACAAAGTTGAAGAACTTGTAGCAGTACACGTCAGGTTGCTCGGAGCAGTTCCAGTGTCCAACTTGACAAAAGTTTTGTTGCTTGACACAAATCCTGGAAACACAAAAAGAAAATATAATTTATAATAGGTAATTTTGGGAGAAACCTTAACTAATTATACAATTATAGGGCCAACTAAAACTCGAAAGTGTGATCTTTCTACATATTGGGTGGGCTCGATTGGTGCGAAAACACGGCCTTACAGAAAACCTGCGTGATACAAAAGCTTAGGTTATATTTCGCCGTGTAAGCGAGTTTCCTGAATGCCCAAACCTTCCTCCTTCGTATACCAATCCCCAATTTCTCCAATCCTCAAATTCCTTACCCACAACAGATTGCTTACCATTTGGTAACCAGTTAGCGCGTTTGCAGAGCTGTACCTATATCATCAAAAAACTGATTATTGTGTTGCATGGCATCGTTAAAGACAGATAGGAAAGATGAAAGAGAGAAGAGATGAGGTGTTAAAAAAGGCCTATTAACTCCAATGAGACAATGATTTATAGTGTTGTAACAAACATACAGCGCCATCTAGCGTAATACGATGAGCGGCAGTCATAAACTAGAAGACAGCTACAGTAGACAAGTGACGCCATCTACACACTGCGTGTCGGACTGTCTGCGTCAGCGCCGGTCCGCATCACCACACAGACATCAACGTGTAGATATTGTGCACACATGTAAACAGTCTGCCTTTATAAGCAGAACAGTCTTTGAGAATTTCATTCGACTAGCTAGAGGATCAGAGTTCGGTAGCCACGCAGCCAATTCTGAGCCTAAGTAAGACTAGTTCCTGTTCGATAGCCTAGCGGTCTTCAGGAACTAGCCAGCTAGGGGAGGTTGAATGGCGATAGCCACTCAGTCCCTTTCATCCCTCCACTTAGGGTTGCCTTAAGATTAGTGCATATTGTAAAGTGTATCTTTATATAAGACAATAAACTATCGTCTAGTACAACGGGGCTTTAATTTCAAAAACCAGCAACCCTACAGTGTTACTTACTTCCTTTTAGAATCCAGCTTGTATCCTGGCGGACAGGTGATGTGGTGACAGTAGTAGCTTCCGTGTGTGTTCTTACACACATAACTAGGATCAGTATGGTAAGGACACAGAGCCTCGCCCGTTTCACACTCATCTATATCTGTAAGTCCACAAAAGTGCATGCAATTTTGCACCTTAGGGCTGCTTTTTCAATAGTCAGATAAATTTTATCTAAGGAATAAAATTGTTGCTGTCACTGTCTTATAGGTACAAACATTTCGACGCGACAGCATCATAATTATTCTTCAGGTAACTTTTATTGAATAATCAGCCCTTAATCAAATAAAAAACACATAAGAATAATCCGAAAAGCCTGGCCTTTTTTTATTGATTATAGGTTCGCGCTTGACCGCTATCTCACCTGATGGAAAGCGACGATGCGGTCGACGATGGAGCGCGCTTACCTAGAAGTAACCTATTCACTCTTGACTTAAAGATACCCGGATTGTAACTATCAGGAAACACCGACTCCGGCAAGGAATTCCACTCCTTGGCTGTACGCATAATGAATGTGCTCCCAAAACGTTTTGTACGTATATGTTGTCTTTGAGGTGGTGGAGGTGACCTACTCCCTAATCTACCGGGTACTGTTAGAATGAGCGAAAAATCGGTAATGACGACACCCGGGTTCCTCCCTCCACAACAGAAGGCGAAAGGTAAAGACGACATGGCATCTTTCTCAACTTTGAGAGAGATTATTCTTTGGTTGATGTGTAATAGCATATAATTAGCCTTTTATTTTATACTAGCTTAGGTATATCCGCGCTACGACCTCACTCCGGCTAAGTCAGCCCACGCATGTGTGCCGAACACTACTGGAGAATAGTTTATAGGGTACATGTTGTGGTCTTTGTTACAATATTTTTTTAGTCCCAAATGTTTTAATACTTTATGTTTTAAAGAGTTAAATGTTAATCTACATTTTACTAAATTTTTTCCCGTACCGTATCAACCATTTTTCCCAATCTATGCGCCAAATAGGGACGCCATGCGTCTTATAAGACCCCCTAGGGTCCACGTACAGCTGAGGTTGCTGATGTAGCAAAAATAACCCCCTTAATGCAGAAAAAGAAATGGGGTGATTGTTAGAAGTAAGAGTCTGACATTCCATCTCGCTCTATCAGGGCGGGAGAAAACAATGGTTTAACTTTTTTAAAGGCAGATTTTTCAATGGTTAGATATAAGTTATCTGGGGAATCATATGATACTGTCACGTCAGAATGTTTGTATAAGACAGTGACAGCAACAATTTTATTCCTCAGATAACATTTATATTAAAAAATCAGCCCTTAGTCTTATACTAAATCTTTAAATAATATAGGGCAACGACTTTCTTAAATCTTACCATTACATTGCATGTTTGTAACCATGTATCCCTTAGGACATGTAGGTTGCAATCCAATGGAAGGGAACTCAGTATTTGTGATAGAGGTATCAGTGCAGGTGAATGAACCCGACAGGTTCTCACATTGCTGGCCGTGGGTGCAGTTGTGCTGGTTCAAAGTGCACTCATCAACATCTGTAGATGTCCAAATGATTAATTTTAATATTTAAAGAATATTTGTAAACTTTGTTAACTTTATACTTACATATATTTTTAAATGTATTAAGTAGATTATACATTTAAATGAGTAATTCAAATATACCTACATATTCACATGATCACGGATACAGCTCAAATGAATCAGATGAACTTTATGTAGAATATCAATCAAATTAAGTATCAAAAAATAAAAAATAATGATACAAAAACGAGTAAAACTCATAATTTTAAATGTATCATTAGCCGGTTGAAATCTCTAAAGTTATTACAAAAGTTTCAGTCAATGTCTTTTTCAACAGTGACTATCGTGTGATATACTAAATTTATTGAAAATAACGACTTACTCCCGTGAATAGTCTCAGACAAGGTCAACAAGTTTCAAGTCACGACGGGGCTCTTAATCATGAGCAGCGTACGCGTCGCGGCGTCGTCGCGCAGCCAACTCATCCCACGTCGTCTTCATGAAAAATAGTCCTGTTTCGACTTGAACTAGTAGAGCTTTTTTCAAATTATTCACGTGAGAAAGTCGTCATTTCGAATAAACTCAAAGAGCTGCTCCGCGCGGATCGAAGCCTCGAGACGTTGCATAGCAAGCGGTTGCCCAGCCAGTTCAGCCAATGACATTTCTTAAAACAGTTTTATGTATACTAACCTACGCAATACCCCGACGAGGATTCCAGTTCAAAGCCTTGCTTACACCGACACACATATCCACCGGGTGTATTGACGCAGTCCTGGAGCTGGTCACAGGCGTTAGTACCATCGCCACATTCGTCGAAATCTGCAAAGAATAATCTTTAAAACCATTTGTGCTTGGTACTGAAAAATTTACCTCAGACTGGCAGGAACAGGAGACAGCCGGGGAAAATGAACGAGGGGTAACTAAAAATAATTAGTAAGAGTGACTCTCCTTTGCACAAGACCCTGGGTGGGAGAAGTAATTTGATGATTTTCTGTGTAGATAATAGGCGAGCAAACAGATTCCCTGATATACAGCGACACCCATGGACACCCTCAACTTAAAGGAGTAATAGGCGCGTTGCCTTTTAATAACAATTACGCGCGTTTCCTGAGTCGTGACGTTTCTGAAATACAGCTAGCGAAAGATGACGATGATTTTGTCGATGGCGAAAAGATGTGACAGGGATCCAACCGATCAATTCCTCAGAACACTCCCCAAAGCATGGGCGATAGAGAAACACATAGCGAGGCTCCAACTCAACGCAGTGCCAAAAAGTCTAGCCGGTCTGAGACAAAAGGTGCCAGCGTTATTTTTCGGTTAGTTCATTCGAAAATAAGAAATATTCGCCAATTTTTTACGGTGTAGGTCGGCAAACGAGCAGACAGATTAACTGGTGGTAAGCAATCAGCGCCGCCCATGGACACCCGCAACACCAAAGGCGTTACGAGTCTTTTGCCGGTCCTTTAGGGATAAAGGGTTTCAGATATTTAAGGATTGTAATAGATAGGGGAGGGGGAGGGATTAGTCCTCCGGTAACCTCACTCACACGGCGAAACACAGCGCTGGGGTTGTTTCACGCCGGTTTTCCGTAAGGCGGTGGGATCACTCCGGTTGAGCCGACCCATTTGTGCCGAAGCTTGGATCTCCTTCACTTATTCTGAATAACTTGGTATAAGTTCTGAATCTGATTAGGCATAAATTATTGGACATTTTCGAACGAAACCGCAAGAGTAAAATGTTTTATTAATAAAATACACGATACACTAACCTATACAAGATCCAGATGAGGTTTCCAGTTGGAAGCCATGCTTGCACTGACATACATAGCCACCAGGCGTATTGACGCAGACCTGGAGCTGGTCACAAGCGTGAGTACCATTACGGCACTCGTCGATATCTGCGAGGAATAATGATCAAAATTTATCATCGAATGATGAGAAACTGAAATACTCGTATGCGCTTTCAACAGTGCTTCGTAACTCGGGGCGCCAAAGCGATGCCTGTTGGCAGTTCTATGTTTTGGTAGGACGGACTAGGCCATGTATGGGCTAATATCGGTGGCAAACTCTTGCGTCCGGCCTTAGTCAAGGCTATGGTGCGAAACGAAAGGAACTAGGAATCCGTCTCCTCCTTCTGTGAAGTTATGCTCGCAAAGTGGCAGTAGGCGATCTCTGGGAATAAAGTCCAGTCATTTTAGGCAACATAAGGTAAGAATAAAATAACTTAAAAATTAAGCATATTTATTATTATTTGTACTTTTTTACCTTTATAATTTCCTTTCACTGTCTGGAACGAGACAAATTTCACTTTTAGAAGATGATTAATTTAATATTTTTGTTTTTTTTTTTATTATTTTTATAATGCTTTATTTCTGTCCACAGCCCGACCGACTTTTCAACTAAGTTACTACAACAGTAACTTAATTTTAAGGTAAATTTGTGTAGGTAACTAACAACATAAATAACATTTTTATTCTTATTATTTTGTTTTTATATGGAGAATAAAATTATTAATCTCTAAATCTTTGATTTAAAAGTTTTTTATACGTCGAATCGCTTATGAGATAGAGGGCAATGAGTGCGAACTGCGGAGTGTTTAACTGTGTAGTAACTTGGTAACTTAGGAACTAAGTAAATTAGTAACTTTGTGACTTAGTAACATACTAAGTCACTAGTTTCGTCTCGTGTGATTTCGGTTCGACTTGTATGATTTTACAATCATCATGAAAACATCCAGATGTCAAATTTCAGCGAAATCGATAGGACCGTTTCTGAGGTCACATGCTTCTTCAAGCAAGCAGCGCCATCTGACGGGCTCAGTTGTGAATCTAAAGTTCTAAACCATTAGGTGCGCTACTATAACGCATACAGAAAAATTCATTAAAATCGGTCAAGCCGTTTAGGAGGAGTTCAATTACGTGCGTAATTGAACTCCTCCTAACACTACACGTACAGCAGAATTACATATATAAAGATACAGCTTGGTATCTGTCATTCCGAGGTGAAACTACTAAGATGACTGGAGTAACCGGAAGCGTGGTGGGAGTATAAATTCAAATTGCCTACAGATCACCACAAGTGGGGTCCTACGGTGTTGATGTTTAGTTTGCCGTGAATGGAAGGGGTGGAGCTTAATCTTTTAAATAAATAAAATAGTTATTATGCATCATTAGAATTTTCAAAAGTACTTAAAATTTATAGTTCTAAACAATATTTACCTATACAAGACCCAAACGAGGGATCCAGTTCGAAGCCATGCTTACACCGACACTCGTGTCCACCAAATGTATTGACGCAATTTTGGAGCTGACCACAAGTGTGGGTACCGTCGCGACACTCGTTAATATCTGAAAAGAATAATTTTAACTTAACTTTCCTTATTTTTGAAGAATGTTGATCTGGTCATTTTGGTGACGGGTTAAACTTTGCTGGCCTCATCTCGTGTGGATGTTCCCGAGTTCTAGCTCACAGGCGTCGGTGGATGTAACCCACTACTTTTTCACGTATCCTGCCAAACAAGGCGGTGTAGGCGTCCCGAAATCTGCCGTGGAGAACCTATTTAAAGTGAACTATTTCCGACCGAGGGAAATAAGGAGAGTTATGATCTCATTTTGCGTTTCTGCAGCTCATTCCAGGACTAATTTCTTCACAGAAAGAATTTACTCTGTCTTATAATCTCTAAAATCTCAACGCAATGATATGTATGGATAAAGCATTAAATTTAAAGTTAGGTTCAAATTGAAGAAAAATCCGCCAAATTCACTGTGTGAAACCGTATGACCTACATACTGGAATTTAAGGTTATGTGTGAAACCGAAACGAATAAGTCGAAGTGTTTGAAACCTCAAAACTCTACAAGAGTAGACTGTTTGTACGAAAAAAGATACATATATTTACTCTACTAGCCTGTACAAGATCCAGATGAGAAGTCGTGTTCGAAGCCATGCTTACACCGACACACATGTCCACCGAGTGTATTGACACAGTCCTGGAGCTGATCACATGTGTGGATACCGTCGCGACACTCGTCGATATCTGCGTAGAATTATAACGTTCTGAATTAATGTTCTGATGCATGCACAGTTCTTAATTCAGATTCAAGTAATTGTATTTACATATCTAAGGTAACAAAAAATGTAGTCATACAAGATTTGCGTAGTGCGTGTGTATGTCCTGCCATTAACAGCACGGGTTATTAATTATATTTGTACCAACGCCAAAAATGTGCTAATGTGCCTGTTGGTTCTTTGAGGCAATGCGGTTGCAATTTCATATCAGCGCCGCCCATGGACACCCACAACAACGCAGGAGTTACGAAAGCATTGTCGACCTTTTGGTTCATAGGGATTTGGAGATTTCAACATGAGAGATGGAGAGGGATTGGGGGGGGGGGGGCTTGGCTTCCAATAACCTTACTTACAAGGCGAAATATAACCGTGTGGTGGTTTCACGTTAGTTTTCTGACGTTGCGATAAAACGGAGCAATAGAATAATAATAATAATAAATGATACATTAATTAATAAATATTATGTATACTAACCTACGCAAGATCCAGACGAGGAGTTGAGCTCGAAGCCATGCTTACACCGACATTCATATCCACCCTGTGTATTTATGCAGTTCTGATGTAAATCACAAGTGTGGGTACCATCACGACACTCGTCGATATCTACAAAGAATAACTTTAAATTTACTTTACAGATTCTTGAAGACTAACAACCGAAGTGGTTCTGTGTCAGTAAAATTTATGGGCGCGAGAGTATGGTCAATACATTCGTCCGTCGCACTCGTGGCGGCCTCTTTTTTCCTCTTCTTCTTCTCCACTCCACCATTTTTTGCTCTTTTCCTAGGCGTGTCCAGTGCACCTAGTGCGGGAGGATAAAGGCGTATTGTGATCGCTCTTTCCCATTTTGCAGTTCCCTTCCGCGACCTAAGTTCTTCATAGAAGGACATCATTGCAATCCACGATTCTGAACTGCCTGCCTTTTTGGAGACAATATTCTGGTGGACTTCAATCTTCCCCAATATGAGTAGAATGTGTTGTATCTGATAACTCCAGTGGTAGACAAACATAAAGATATGCAAAAAAATACTGAAAAATATTCGCCATGTTAACTAGACAGTTGCGAGTTAAGTCACGCGTTAAGTCAGGCCAAGCCATAATTTCGGCGATACCCGCCCCTCCGACACATGGGTAAGTGGAGGAACACCGGGTTGGTTTTTAGTCAGAGTAAGAGTCTGACAGTACCCTTCGCCCTTCCCCGAGGGTGGTGGGTCTCCATGAGGATTTTCCAACCCGACACCAAAAAAAAAAGGCCAAGCCATAATTGGATTAAAAATGAATTGTGTATCTACTTTACTTACCCATACAAGACCATGGCGAGTCCTGTTCGAAGCCATGCTTGCATCGACATACATATCCACCGTGTATATTGACGCAGTCCTGGTGCTGGTCACAGGAGTGGGCACCATTACGGCACTCGTCGATATCTGAGAAGAATAACATTAAAATCATCATTACGTGTATGTGAAGAATATTAAATTAACAGTGAGCATTAAACGCTGCTTTCCAATTTGAGACCACCCTTATGGAGATCGTATCGTGGCAATAACGAAGTTCTAGGATAAATGGAAATATTCGAATTAAGTATGTCGTAAAATGACATTGAAGAAAAATTGATCACAACTTACCAACACAATTTCAAGTAGCTTCATTTTTCGACCACATTCACCAGACAAAGTGAGAAAGCATAGTATTAATTTCGAATAAACGATTAAATATTTTTGAAAACTTTTAAAAATTAATATGTTTTATAAACAAAATAGATGCTAACCTACACAAGCTCCAGACAACGGGTCATGTTCGAAACCATGCTTACACCGACATTCATATCCTCCGAATGTATTCACACAGTTCTGGAAATGATCACAAGCGTGGGTTCCATCGCGACACTCGTTAATGTCTGCAAAGAATAACTTCTTATTAGTTTTCAGCTTCGTGAAGACTGTTGACAAAAAGTGGTAGGCACAAAAATAGTGAGTTCATCTATTGTCAATATTCTTGGGCTCATGGTGGATCAGCGTGTGTACAAGTACTACAGACTGAGTTGGGGAACTCACACATCCTACGGAGGCCATGGGTCCTGAGGTGATGGTATTTTCTCCAAAACTACATCAACCATTTAACAAGAGCGGCGGATGCAAGGACATGAATGTAATGCGGCTTGATTTAAAGCTGGAGAAGGAACAGGGTGGTTTATGGTCATTAAAACCCTGACACTACGTTGAAGAAGATTTCGCATGTTGTTGGTCACTACATTGTAGAAAATTTTGGATGATTTCGACTATAACTAGAAAAACATGCCCATACTTTTAATATGCCTGTCAGATGAGCGGTGGCCAAAACTTACTATTGAGTGAAACCAAACACACACAACGTCACCAAACGCGAAGGTAGGCCCAGAAGGAGGTGACGCAACAAACATGACATCGTTAACAAGGATTGGCCGCAGAAAGCATTGTGAAAAGAGACTTTTCTCCGCAGTTGGACAATAACGGCTAATATTTAACCGTTAACCGCCGCGTAGGTCACCGGTGACCTACGGTAGCGGAGGATTTGCCTTCAATAGTTTTCAGTCGGCAGTCAAAGGCTTAAAAAAGCTTCTTTTAAGCCCGTTGCGCCTGGAGCAGGAAAGTAGAGTATTGTGATCTTCCTTTCCATTTCTGCGGATTTCTTTCGGGACAGAATCGTGTACACGTTAGCCACGAACTTTTTCCAGTCAACACTCGCAGGGATCACTTGATTCCAATCTTTAATAAGAGGGTACAACGTGGTTATATTGTATCTCACTACCCCAATGAAAGAGCAAAGTAATGATATGCAAGATATAAAAGAAACAGTAAAAAAGAAATTGATCAAGAAAGTGGGGGTAAAGCCAAGAGTGATGGTAGGGTCAGCCATAATGTCAAAAACTCTTCAGACGTTATTGAAATCTTAAATGCGGAAAGGTTATACAAACCTAAACAATACCCAGACGAGAAGTCCTGTTCGAAGCCACGCTTACAGTGGCATTCATATCCACCGTGTGTATTGATGCAGTCCTGGAGCTGATCACAAGCGTGAGTATCATTACGGCACTCGTCGATATCTGCGAGGATAACATTCAAAATCGATAGAGAGTATTAACTTAATAACGCGCACTGTCAACCCTGCTCCGTTACATAAAGCGTCTAAGCGCTGTCTGTAAGTAGCTCTTCATGGTACCTTAATATGGGCGATAGTCCCGTCTTCTCGAAGCAAAAATTGCAAAGGGCATTTTTTTGCATAAATTGGGATTAAGAATCACGACAATTGTATACTAACCAACACAAGATCCAAACGAGGAGTTCAGTTGGAAGCCATGCTTACACCGACATTCATATCCACCGTGTGTATTGACGCAGTCCTGGAGCTGGTCACAAGTGTGGGTACCATTACGGCACTCGTCGATATCTGCGAGGAATAATAACATTCAAATGATCTTTTTATCTTTTATTTTATCATTTGGTCATATGGTCATCACCTGGTGAGAGATCAGCGCCGTCCATTGACAGCTGCACAGCAATACTATACTAGGGGAGTCACGAGCGCGTTCCCGGCCTTTTAGGAAGAAGGACTCGTTTCTGCAAGGTTTGATAACGCCGCCGAAAGGTCATTTCACAGTTTTGTTGTTTGAAGCAAAAAGTTTCGAGAAAATTGTACAGATGTTGACTGCCAACAAATCTATATGATGGGGACTGAAGTGTTTTCGCGGGAGCCGATGACGGAAAGATGAGGCGGGTTATCGCAAAATCTCTGCCCTGAGACTCAGAGACAAAAATACTAGTCATGTCGCAGAAATAAAACATAATTATGTATACTAACCTACGCAAGACCCAGACGAGGTGTTCAGTTGGAAGCCATGTTTACAGTGGCATTCATATCCACCGGGAGTATTGATGCAGTCCTGGAGTCGATTACAATCGTGGTTGCCAAAACGGCACTCGTCGATATCTGCGAGGAATAATGTTCAAATATTTTTTTTTCGGAATTATTGAATTTTTTGGATCGAGAATATTGATTTGCTAACACAATGTCAAGCCGCATCAATCTCACACCGTGAACAGATCCTTATTTAGATATATCAAAATTACTTTAAATAGAGTTTATGTTGTCCGTGCCCTTGTTGAGTTTTATTATGAGTTTATAGATTACCTATGTAACAAAACAAAAGTATTATACTGTAAGAATAAATAATACATACTTATTACTATTATTATAATACGTCATTGACAATATATAAATCAAATAAAATCATCCTACCTATTAGGTAGGATGATTTTATTGGGGTATGATTTTTTGGGGGTATATGGGTGGTCACGGAATGGAATAAACTCCCAGAAAATGTGATAAAAGCACCCACAGTTAATTCTTTTAAAAACAGACTCGACAAAATCTCCAAATCCATTAATACGCACGCATCAACTTTCTAAGCTGCTAGTGTGTTCAAGTATATAATAATAATAATAATAACTGTTGGCCATTGGCTCCCCACGGACCTGACTCCCGGGAGGTGTCTTGTTCTTCTCTCTCCGGTTAGTCCTCGTGACGAGCTGGAGTGAACACTGATGAAGAACAAGCCGTCCTACCTCATTCTTGCCTTAATTGGCTGGCTTGAGTGGAGATTCGCAAGAGTAGGAGTTGAAGGAGACTCGGGGGCAGGATGTATCTCAGTAAGGTGCTGGTAGGGGTCTTGACCGTACTTCCGGGATTGCTCTGATAGCCGTGGGATGCCTCTCCTTCCCCAAGCAGCTCAACGTATGTTGCCTCCGTGTCGCTACATGCTAGCGGCCGTTTCCGGGGGCCCATTAATTGAGTTTGCCAGTCACCCCCTGCCTGTTTATCCGTATGTATCAATATTGGTCAGGGGCAGGGGCCATAGTATTTCCATAGTTATCATATCCACCAGTCCATAGCAACCCATATTCATAACCCTATCAATTTTTACCACATTTCACAATAGTCTTGTATCAACCGGGGATTGTCCTTGGATGCATTTTTACAGTGCATACAGGGATAATTGCCGGCTGATGTCCCATCACATTTAGATTAAAACTGTTCAACGGGCCTCTGCGAGTTGGCTTCGGCTCCTCGTACGCCTCCCAAAGGTCCGGGACCCTGTGGTCCCGTGAAAGGAAAGAATAATAATAATAATAATCATTGTTCTTCTCTCTCCGGTTAGTCCTCGTGACGAGCTGGAGTGAACACTGATGAGGAACAAGCACTCCCACCTCATTCTTGCCTTAATTGGCTGGCTTGAGTGGAGATTCGCAAGAGTAGGAGTTGAAGGAGACTCGGGGGAAGGATGTATCTCAGTAAGATGCTGGTAGGGGTCTTGACCGTACTTCCGGGATTGCTCTGATAGCCGTGGGATACCTCTCCTTCCCCAAGCAGCTCAACGTATGTTGCCCCCTTGTCGCTACATGCTAGCGGCCGTTTCCGGGGGCCCATTAATTGAGTTTGCCAGTCACCCCCTGCCTGTTTATCCGTATGTATCAATATTGGTCAGGGGCAGGGGCCATAGTATTTCCATAGTTATCATATTCACCAGTCCATAGCAACCCATACCCATAACCCTATAAATTTTTACCACATTTCGCAATAGTCCTGCATCAACCGGGGATTGTCCTTGGGTGCACTTTCATAGTGCATACAGGGATAATTGCCGGCTGATGTCCCATTTCACTTATATTAAAGTTGTTCAAAGGGCCTCTGCGAGTTGGCTTCGGCCCCTCGTACGCCTTCCAAAAGTCCGGGACCCTGTGGTCCCGTGAGTGGAAAAGAACACACATATTTAATAATAATCACAAAACAAAATTAAAACTATGTGGGCAATAATAAAAGAACGCACAACCAAAAATCCTAGAGCTTAAAA